AGCTCTCCATCTGCTCCATGGTAGCATCTCGCTACTGCAGCATCTTACGGTCCAAAGCTTTTCCTGTTTTTAGCTGTAAAATCCGGCTCAAAATTTACAGGTACAGGCACTGCTGTAGCATTTGTCTGTGATAAATTGTCTTTAAATAAAATTAATTCAGTTTGTTATGGTGTCTATGGCTACCAGACTGTAAAGTAAATCAGTCCAATACACATGTAGTCCACTTCAGTTAGAGACATTGAAGTTTAGTACTATGTCAATCTGTGTTCAATTTAAGTCTGACAAACTATGTCTAATGTGGTTAGACCATTATGGGACAGCCACCAACAGACTATTTTAAAGCTTTTAAAAAGAGGAAACATTTAATACTTATTTATTATGTCTAAAATTGCCTGAAATAATGTATATTTTTTTCTTAGCTGTTAGCTACTATCTCACAAAATTTCAGCTCCATGTATCTTCTTGCAGCTAAATTAGAGTAATTTGGAATTGGCTGTGGTGTTTAATTTGAATTTTCAAATCCAGAGTTTTCTTTATTTATATGTGCCCCACCTAATGACACCTTGACCACCCCTTGCAAAAAAGCAAAGCTCCACCCCTGCTTAGATAACAGATTTTTTTAGAGCCTCTAGATCCAAATCTTGCAGTCTAAAAACAGAACAGGGAGGGAATTTTTAAAGATACAACAAATCTTGGGGATTAGTAGTGGTGTCTGGGACCAACATGTTCACAAGTACTCGTACTTGTTCAAAATGCCCTGATACTCGGGGACTGGTATCAATATTGGATTCAGAATTCAATACAATGTATTACAGTATACATTTCAAGTAAAAAAAAGGTCAGTTCTATGTTTAAAAAATGTGTACAAGTTGATAAAAAAAATCTTTAAATGTTCCAACAAATAATGCATTTTTGATTTGATACAGTCAGAGGGGCTGTAGGCCTATACTGTGTATTGGGGAATACCTAATTAATGGGTTAAACAGTGAAGAAATTTACACTCCGTTTTGTGTTTTGCAGGTGGATAATGGAGAGAAGCTATGATGTTGCACACATATTTGTAGCATATTTGGGAGAGTTTCACTAAAGGTTTTGAGCATCCTGACAATACAGAATTACAAAAGTCTGGTCTGACTTTCTCTGCTTCATTAGGTCATTCCTAATTGGGGTTATTTTGCACAGGTGAATGAAGGAGGTTTGTGAAACATGCATGTTCTAGATCAAATTAGCTCCAAGGTTGGCCAACACACTAATACACCAAACAAGTTCAAGTACAATGCTAAACCATTCCCTCTTTTAGAAGTTCCACCAGTACTGCACCTCTTATATTGTTGCAACGCTGCACATAAATTCTGGTTTCTCCTGTTCATTTTTAGAACAAATCCAATATTTTGCAARTTTGAAATCTTTACTTTTTTTGTGATGAAAAATGGGAGAAAACGGGGGACAATTACATTCATCACTGCTGTCAGACATGACATTTTTCTCTAGYCAGATTAGTTGTGTAAAACTGCAAAAACAAGACCCGACTGCAATCAGAGGCACTTTATTCCCTAAAAAAAAAAGATCAAGATAATGAAACTTCTAGCCTTCAACTTCTCTGTTACTCCGACAGCATGTGCTATTATATTAACTCCCCTGCCTCCCAGTTTCCTAATACAATACAGACACAAAAGCCCAACTATTACAGTCCGAGTTGTGATCAGCTGGAAATACCCCAATAAACATGAATATGGGTAAAGGGGCAGTAACTAAAACTGGCCTGGCGCTTTTAGGATATTTTGCTCACAGAAACATCACAGATGTGTGTAAAATCTAACTTTAGGAGGGTAAATTGTGTTGATATTCTGACCATTTTGTTCTTGTGTTCATCAAGAGCAAAACATCAAACAAATAGTGGCTCGTAAAGGAAGAAAATTTTATTTTCTGTGACAGGGCCAGTTTATTGTAGTGGCAAACTGTCCTAAACTACTCCTCCCACTGTGAGTTTAAAATGCTTTTCTTTCATCTGGATGATGAAGGAAGTACAAAATAAGTGTTTTGCCATCTGCAATAAAATAAAATCTTTTTTCTTTCTGTATTTTTTTTAGCTTGGGTATAGCTGAGTTGGGAGTGCACCTTGCTGTTCATCTCCTGCGTGCAAGTGCGAGCTGTCTGGTTGATGGCCATTATGGTTCCTGCTACTGCGTGAGYGTCTGCTCCACCGGGATCAGTGAAGTGTTGGAACTAACAAGCCTGGGATGCAGACAGTGAATGCACAAATGGGATTTTGTCCTGAAAGCTTTAAAGTTTGCTCCCCGATTCTCAGAGGAAACAAGAGAGACGATGTTAGCGGTTTGCAGGGACTGTCCGACATAAATGAGATGATTACATCTGATGGGCCTGCTAATGATCTATATTGGGTGGGAGAGCCATAAAATTCAATGAGCTATAGATGTACACAGTTTTTATTCTTGTTAGCGAATTGTTTTCTCTCTCTTGCTTTGCTTTTCACCAGATTTATGCAGATTCTTGTAGGTTCTCCACCCAGGAAAATGTGCAATACTGAGGAAACATTCATCAAGCTCTGGGACACAGGCGCACATAAAAGCTCTCGTTTCTTTGGATGACTCTTAATGCAACTCCAYTTCCTTTCAGATGCACTAAGAAGTATACAACGCCCGCGTTTCCAAACCAAGGTTAGCACAGAATAAAAGATGTGTCATTGATGGAAGAGGCCTCGCCTTCATCTCCGGACTGTCACACCACGTTTGGGGACAACCCACTTCATTTTAGCAGCATAATGGATAAACAGAGTGTGATCAGTCCAATTACCCCCTCATCGCAGAGGCGTTCTGGCGGGAATGAGAGTTAGCTGTCTGGCAGGCGACGGGAGTTGCAACAGTAGCACCTGCTGCCCAGAACCCTCACTTGTATGAATCTCAATTTGTTTGTACAGCCGTGCCAAAAGGAGAAAGAAAAAAACAAAACAAAGCTGTGACCAAAAAGTGAGGCCTCTGAGGAGGGTGAAACCATGGTCTGCTAAATGCTGTTTTTACTGCACTGTCTGTGAATGTAGGAAGATCAGAAGGTGCTTTTTATCAGCACAGAGCATCAGATCTYCAGGTGGACTGGTTTTAGCTTTCTGCTAAGAAGCKTTCAAAAAAKGGCAATTTTCTCACAGACCCTGTCCAATAAACTTGCTTCAGAACTAGTTCTGTTAAGTCACAGAAATGAATTGTGTTGCAGTCACAAAGTTCTCTGCTAAATAAAGAATAAGCCATAATTATTGGCTCTTACTTTTATCATAACTGTGGCACGGTGGTCGGTGCTGAGGTCTTGTATTCCTGGGGCTGCAAGGGCATCCAGCGTAAAAAAATTACCAAATCTTTCATGCTTTCATTCAATCCTTGCAATAAGGAGCAGCTGAAAGA